ACGCCAATCCTTAACCCGAACGGTGTGCATGTAAACACTTAATCTGTTCATTTTTTTTTCCAATTGTGAAAAACTGACCTGACTGCGCATGTGCGACCTATGTCATTTCCACCTGGCTAATGCTAATAATATTAGCGTGTCGGGGAAGTAAAACTGGTCAGTGAGCGACACGACATTTCTACTAGAAACTTTGAAAGAGCTCAAAATGACCTGTATCACCTGTAGCTCAGTCAGGGAGTGCAGTAACGTCTCCACCGTCATTAAAACCTGTCTTGGGTCCATTTTGGCCGCTCACGTTTGTTTACGTTCATCCTGGAAGTAAACCGGAAGTAGAACTTCTTCTTCTGTGGTTTTTTTAAGGGGAGTTTACCACTATGCACATGTCAGTACTTCTGTTCAGAATCAAAGCTGCTGCATGTAAACGCTTGTTGTGAATGGAATGTGCCCATGTAAACGATACATTTGAATTATTTAATATGAAAACATTTCAATCCGGTCAAAGAATTTTGCGCATGTAAACATAGCTTATAACTGTATACATATATCTCCTCTTTGTCTTTTTCCTGGCAGCTGCATTTCTATCATCCTTTTATCAATATACCCACTGTCCCTCCTCTGGACATGTCCAAACCATCGCAGTCTGTCCTCTCTAACTTTATCTCCCAGTTGTTCAACCTGTGCTGCACCTGTAATGGTCTCATTCCTAATAATCTATTCTTATCACTCCTAAGGAGAACCTCAACATCTTCATTTCTACCACTTCCAGTTCTTTCTCCTGTCTTTTTGTCCATGCCACTGGCTCCAGACCATACAACATAGCTGGTCTCACCACTGTCCTGTCTTGTAACCACAATTTCAAACTTTGTATACTTTATATAATTTTTGACATTGCATTAGAAAAAGATGACAAGTTATGATGCATTAAAAAAAAAAACAATTAAAAAAACTGCTCTTCAAAGCAAATTTGTTCACAAGCAGCCCTGACATGTCCAACAAATGGATCACCAATGCCAAGTTTTATTATATTTATATAATGTTTATAAAATTTTACAAAAAATACAGTTTTTAATTTTGTGAGTAAAGTTGGGATCTATACAAAATATTCTCTTGAACAGTGTAAACTGCAGCTGTTGTTTACGAGATTAAAAAAAAAAATCTATTTTCTGTTTGTCAATCCCATGTGAAAATTTTAGTCACATTCTGAATGAAAAAATGTCACTCTCTCGAGGCCTTCCTCATACTTTCCATTCCCACATGTTAATTAAAGCTTTGATCTTATTGAAAAAAATCTTGGCTTGCGTCTGTTCCCATGTGGTAATTGCTACAGTAAATGATTTCCCAGTGACACTGCAGGTCAGCCCAGTTCAGATGCTCTCCCCATAGTTACTGGGGAAAGTGTGTTTGTAGACTGCCATTAAGGCTCCTCTGGCTTTTCCCGCTCATCGTCATGTAATATGACACCGAGAAAGCACATTAAGACATCGTGTTTATGTTCTCGCTTTAAATCCAACCTATTGACCAAGAAATAAACATGTCCAAATGAGGCACTGTTGGTTTTATTTCACATTTTGTGAGCAAATGTACAGAGAGACGTTTGTTGGTAAAAGCACAGTGGTGGAGTTTAATTGGAAGCACATCGTCTCATTAGGTTTTTGTGACATTTGCCTATGTGATACAAATAGAGACGCACTGAATGCAACGTGGAAGGAAATACAACAATCTAAATAAAGTTGATGGTTCAGAGCCAAATTAAATGTCTCAGCAAGGTGAAGGAGGGTGTGTTTAATCTTTAATTCAAATCATTCTGTGTTCATTTTTTATATATTGACTTTAGTCATGTCAGAGCAGGACATGTTGGACTTATGTAACTTGTATTATTTTTAGCCCTCAATGCACTTCAAAATGCCAAACATCGGAATAAAACATGACAACCAAAACTAGGACAAAACATTCAACACGAACGACAACATACGCAGTAAAGTTTTCTACACTTGCTGTGCTTGATTGCTAGCAAATCCCCACTTCACAAGCTGCATTTGATTCAACCACAGGGAGCTATCACAGATCAAACACCTTCCCAGTCATTGGTGCTCACAAAATCTTCAGTTTAATCTGACAAAGTGCTTCAAGTTGTCAATAATGAAAGAAAATAAATAAGAGGGCATGGCAGTTTTGTGTGCTCCTTGTGGCAGATGTCAGGGGAGGATACTTTCTATAAATACTCTACAACTGCCAGACCAATAAACCAAAATTAGAACCAGAACATATCAAAATGCATCAACAAGCCTTTGCTGTGTGGTACTGTTGCAGATAACGTCCAACCACAGTGTGCACAGACCATTACAAGGGCTGAAGGAATGAGGCTACGCCTTGTCATGGCAGCTAATAACTGTGGGTAATCGGCTAATTATTACTGGCAGGCTGGTAAAAAGCTTGCGTTGTGAAGTTGCAATGTTTCACACAGATTAGTCACAACACAGAAACCTTTGTGAATAACACCAATAATAATTTTCCACGACTGCTAGAAGTTCTGTTTGTGATCAGGTGAGGAAAAATGCCATAAAGAGGAGCCCATTCGCTGGTCCATTCTTCAACGTTCAGCTTTGAATTCAATCAACCATCCGTAAGACCGGTCCAATCCAAGGAGGCCCCATTCCATAACTCCCACAAGCCAAAGGTCACTCACTACTCAATGCCCCAGTTAGCTAGTTGTGACTTGCACAATAATAATCAGGTAGTTTAAAGTTGTGGCCAACAAAGATACTAATTTACATTGTTTATAAGTTTTGTATGGAAGTGATATTCTTTCAAACTGAATACAGTAATATTAGCAGCATTTAGTCGTTGAGATTCTGAGTCACACAACTGTTGGATTAAAAGTTAAGTGTGTAACACTCCCTCCTGAAGTATCGGTAGTTTTTCTTGGGTTCACTTGCTGATACAATTTAAACCAGGGGTGGGCAACATTTTTTTTCCACAGGGCCAAATCAAGGTATTTAAAGCAATCGAAGGGCCACATCGAGAATTAGTAAATAGATTTTTTTTAAGACAGATAATCTGGAACACGTATTATAGGCTTTATCTTGTTGTAACAAAGTTGGCATGCTTGAAAAAAATATGTCTCTATATTCTAAGAGTATGACACATTCTTTGTAAACTGGCTCTTGAGACAATATATTTGTTAGTTTAAATGTGTTTAAAAGAACCACAATATACTCGCTTTTTAGAGTCTTTTTAGAGTCTTTAAGGTCCAGTCTAGTTCTGGAAACACAACAACTTCAAGAAAACGTTTTTGGCGTTTCTTAATATGAAAGTTTTTGATGCAATTGTCCAAAATGTTTAATTTATTAAGCTTCATTGATAAAATGCAGGTTTTCATCTATTTTTTTTTTTTTTTGTTTTCTTTTCTATTAAGAAAATTGAGGGCCGGATAGAAATTGTCCAAGGGCCGCTTTTGGCCCTCGGGCCATAAATTGCCCACCTTTAACCCTTTAGCATTTCTCTAAATGAAAGAAAACCCAATTTGTAAAAAAAAAAAATAATAATAATTATATGTATATGTATATATATATATATATATATATATATATATAAATTTCTAGTTCCTGTGATTTAGCATGAGCTATAAATGTGCATTTTTGTTTAACACTATTTCATTAATATGATGGTCCTCTCTATTTTTCATAGTCTGGGAACAAATTCCCTGATTTCCGTCCTCGTCCCCCCTCTGTGTAGACCATCTGCAGAACAGAGTGCTTATATATTTTTTAGAGACTGCCAAAAAGCAAACTGCATTCAGAATATCATAAAGTGGAGTCTCCCTCACCGTACTGGGAGTGATCTAGACTGACTCTGTTAGGATAAAGATAAACATCTTAGCTGGACTTCCTCCAAGATCCACCACTGCTGCTCTGCTTGGTTCCAGTCATGTTTTCATTAGCAGGTGTCATCTTTCCAATGACCATGAGTTAGGTCGCGCCTGTTTGAAAATAGGATTGGGGTCAGTTCCTGATTGAGTCAGCCAGATAAATATTTTTTTCTTTTAGTCTTTTCCACACATGGTCCATTCTTATGTCATGTTTTTGATCTGCAGTTTGAAATGTGAAGAGCTGAAAATATGAATTGAGCTAAACAATGCTGCAGCCATTGTCTATCTTAGTAGTACCTGAAGTTTAAAATCATTATCAAGCTTAGCAATATGGTATTTTGCTTAATTCCAGCATACATGCCAACCAGTATGCTTCCAAAACAGACAAAGGAGAGATGACTAAACCTGTTAAACAGTCTAAATCCTGTTGTGGATTACCGAGCTGTCACTGCTGAGATACTCCTGGTTTAAACGCTGTCACTTCCTCCACATCACAGCTGCAAATTGGTACCTGTGAATGGTAAAGCGGTGTACTGTGGGGTTTTATTTAAGCACGAGAAAGAAAAATGACACTTGCATGTGTGTACACAATTATCTTAAAAAGGTTTAGGCATGGTTTAATTCAGATTATAGCACAATTGCAGGCTTGGTCTGAGATTTAGAGCTTAGCTGCTGCACAAAAAGCTGACAAGCTTAATTCTTTTTGGCTTATTTGCTTTCGTATCAATGATGAGACGATCTGTAAGCTCATCAAAAATAAACCCACTGCTGTTGGTAAATTATTTTTAGCCAATCGTTTTCTTTTTGTTTGTTTTGCAAAGTAGTATAATCCTTTAAATTGCACGTTTTGTTGCTTTAAATAGCTGAGCTCCTGTCCCAGTGACATTTTACCTTAGAAAAATGCTTCGCTGTGCAAAGAACATACAAATATGACTTTTATTCGGATTTATTTCCATTGGATGCCAGATGTATCCGAACATTTTTTGTGTCCTAGCAACAGTACAAAAAAAACCTTTTACTTTTTACACCAGGCCTCTGCTGAGTGTTTGCTAAACATTTTCTTGCAAATCAAACTCTTTAACGTTTTTCACCCCCCTTTTCCCTTTCCCTCTACTTTTTGTATATATTCCAGCTCGTCAACCAGGACAGGAGAGCCCAGCAGCACTGTGGTGTCAAGCCAGTCCAAACCCAGTGGGCAGAGCCATAAGGTCTGTTTGGTGTGCTCGGACGAGGCCTCGGGATGCCACTATGGTGTGGTAACCTGCGGCAGTTGCAAGGTGTTCTTCAAGAGGGCCGTCGAAGGTTGGTTGCACACATCTGCCAGTTTTCACACTCTTCAGCTCCGAATTCTTTCTGTCATGACACACTGTAAGCATTTTTGTTTCGATTTGACCAATGGAATATTAAAAAAAAGCAGGTTAAATAAAAAATAAAACCAGCATTTCACATACAAAAAATAATGTTCTTGTGAAATTTGTGCAACAGTTATTCATATATATGAGTGTTCCTTAAAACTTTAATCAGCAAGCAACAACTGAACGCGTAGTTCAACTGTAGTTATTTCCCGACATGTATTTGTTATTAAGCTGCAGAAAGTTGGAACACTTTCCACAATCTAAGCTCAGAATAGAACAGTAGGATGCCTGCATTTTTTGAGCATTACAGTCATCGTTCTATTCTTGTAGGACTACCTTCTTTTCTTTTTCTCCTTCCTGTTTTCCCAGTATCAAAACTTGGATTACTCACTGGTGATTTTAACAAAAACTTGGACAGGAAAAGTTCCGAACCATCTCTTTTCTTCCCATTTTAACATAGTGTTGTCTGTCAGAAATGTGGTACTTGTGTGGGCTCTATTTCCTTTGCTGGACAAGCATTTTATATTGTTTACCAGAGGATTCATGCTTTGCCACAGAGAAATTGTTTGTGCCTTATAATGATTTTCTTAAACTCTAAAATCTTGAGAAGGGAAGACGAGGAATGCATCTGACAAACGAGCAAAAGTTATTGAGCTCTAAATCTTTTTTGTCATGCATTCCTCTGCCCTTATCTTTATGCGTTTGCTGTTTTCTTCCTGCTGCCTCTGCAGATGTGGTATTGCTTTCCGAGGGTTTTTTCACTGCCAACTGATCGGTGCTTGTTCTCATCAACAATCGGCATGTAAAGCCTCGGTGAACACTAAATAAGCTACTGTCTTAATTCTAATTGATCCAATGCTGACACAGTACTCTCTGCAACAAGATGACCCTCAATAATCTTCTCTTCCCATTTAGTTTTAAAACAAATAGACGTGTCCTTCTTTCTATTTCATTTAGTACTTTTGTTTCCTCTTTTAACAGCAGCTGCCATTCCTTAGTGAAGTACAGGCTGGTGAACAAACTTGCTGTCTCCTATAGGATAGGACTTTTGGATTTCTGCAGCAGTTCAAGACAGAAACATGGTGGTTCTTTAATGGAAATTATGAAATATGTTTATTTTTTTTATTAATAAACAATCTTCGTAATATTTTAACCAAACAAATGAAGCAGTGCCAATTGAACTTAGTCAAGTTTTTCAATGTTTGTCTTGTTTTATATTCATTATAGACACCCTGTACTCAAAATGCAAAACCAAAATCAGATTTTTGGAGGACTTTTGTTAATATATTAACAATAATAGAAACAAACAAATCATAATGCCGCCATTAGTATTCATACTCTTTGTTCTGACGCTGAAGGGTACTGGGATAGTTCAGGTGTTTGGACGTCTCATGTTGTGGGAAAGTTTTGAATAAACCGAACTGGTGTGAATAGCTCTTTGAACGACCTTGATTTGGAGAAATGGAGTTTAAATCTGATCGGATTGATGAGCTAACTAGTCTGAGTGGTGCCAAGAACTAAGTGGATTGCTCCTGTCTAAAAGCAACTCTAATCTCAAAAATGTCATTGCCGTTCATGCAATCAGTGTTTCGTAAACATTTCCATTTCTGTCAGTTTAGCATTGCATGGTTACTCTGACAGAAATAGTTCAGTATTCCTGCCAAATGTGTTTCTAGAGGGAGCAACGGAAAGCTGCTGGTGCTTTTTACACATGGAAATATGCATAATTCCATATAAATAGCCGTGCAATGCGGAATTAACTGCAGTGTAAACATTTATGAAAGAGGGATTGTATGAACTGCTTTGACATTTCTGAGATGGAGGCTCTTTTAAGATGACAGGCAGGTTTTAAATTAGCTTACTGATCTGATCGGAATTTGCCTGTTTTTTCTCCAAACTGAGGCCATTTAAAAGCTATTTACAACAAGTAAAAATAAATTGCCCACAACATTAGTCAGAGAAGCCCTCTTCAGAAGACCTAACTTTGACTTGTGTCAGGACTTGGATCTATATAGAGATAAACAAAAGATTTTTGTAGCATTGAAACCGTCTAAATTTACAACAGCCTCCAAAATTATATAGTTGATAAAACTGTGAAGTGTCAACAAGCATTTTTAATCTGTTTATTGAACTAATCAATCTTATCTTAACTAATCAATCAATCTTAATTCATATGTAACATAAATCTTTGGTCTGACGAAGTCCTAACAGGCCTTTGGTCACTAATAGTATTTTATGAACGAGGGTAAATAATTCCCACCCTCCTCCTTCACAGGCCTGTGACACCGACTGAAAGTTTTTCAGTGTTTTTAGACCGTGAAAAGCAAATGGTCTGGTTTAGCTAAATTTACAATTCTTATATAATTTATAAAAGAAACCAAGTGCTAACATTATTTTGTGGCCATATGTTGCTGCAGGAATTCTTTCATAGTAGAGGGAGAGATGCGTGTAGAAAAGTATGTAGCAACCTTGAGCAAACACTTTCGTCAGTGTGCTCAAATTCTCAGACTTTGACCCACATTTTTCCAACAAGATAATAACCAATGCACAAAAGGGAGTGGCTTTAAAAGGAAAAAAAAAAAACTCTGAAAGGATTTCTGAAAGGAAACAACGTGGGCCTGAACCCCAGTAGAGAATCTTTAGGTAGTCCTGATGATATTTAGGTACTGACACTCCCTGCCCAGCCCGGTGGAGTCTGAATATTTTGTCAGTAAGAATGAAGAAAGGCCGCCAAGTGACTGCCGGGCATGTCAGAAGACTTGTGTATATGTGTTCATTAAATCCCAAATAATGAGTCCGAACACTAGGGAAAAAACACTTGAAACAAAAATGTGTTGACTAATAATAATAATAATAAAATTAACTTAAGTTTTAGATGAGTTAGGAACATAAAATGTTGGACTTGATTAAACAAATGTTATCTGTGAATTTGAGCATCTTTGTGACTTGAGCAATAATCTAGTCAAGTCAACTTTATTTATAAAGCACATTTAAAACAGAAACTGTTACCAAAATGCTTAAGAAAAAAAATCAATGAGAGTAATCTAATAAGAAAAAAACTAAAATAATGATAGTACCAAAATTAATTAAAAACATCAAATAACATAGAAACACAGAACAAAAAAATTTGAAATCATATCACACCGTGTGAAATGCCAGAGAAAACATGAGTTATTAGCAGCAATTTAAAAACAGGAAGAGAAATAGCCTGCCTAATTTTGGGGGGCGCAGATTGTTCCAAAGTTTGGGACCCATAATACGTATACAACAGAGGGTTCCAGGGTCATGCTAAGAAAAAAAAACATTACGAGAAAAAAGTCATAGAATAAAGTAGAAATATTACGAGAATAAAGTTGTAGTATTACGAGAATAAAGTCATAATATTATGAGATTAAAGTCGTAATATTACGAGAATAAAGAATCAGAATCAGCCTTTATTGTCATTGCACAGAAGCGCAACAAAATTTAATTTCAGTACAGTTCGTCCAGAGAAACACTAACAACCAGACAACATCATGGGTAGACGGGGTGCCTGAGGCTGAAGCCTCATGAGGGGCACTGCCTTTATCGTTGGATAAGGAAAAGGGAACATGAGAAATGGGAGGTAAAAAAAAAATCATATCTCGCACAGATTCAGGAACCACAAGTAGCCTGCGATTTTCAGCAAGAATCACGTCCAGCTTACGGCTCAGCTCACATAGCATTTGAGTCCAAGTGTTCACAGCATGACACATCCCCTCACATAGGCCGAGCAGCTTCGCAATGGCCGGAACAGCTGCCGACGTTTTTCAAATTTGTTGATATGCCAGGTAACCACCCACTCCAAAAAGCAGAAATCCTGTTATCATAAATCCAATTATGAATGCATCTGCAACATCCTCAACCGACACTAGGGACAGACACACAATCTTCCACTGCCGCCAGGAATCCATTGTGTATACAGCTGCAAGTGTCTCGTCGGGGCAGGAGAGCTCCTTTGCCCTGTCTTCTCATCAAGAATATTTGATCAATTGCGTTGAGGGACCTGCTGACCAGATCCATAATTTACAATTTGGAAGATATTTAAAGAGAGTCTCCGAAAGGTTTACAGGACAAAGAGCAGAAGCAGGGGAAGGAGCGGATATATATAAGTTGTAATAATATGAGAATAAAGTCGTAATATTTCGGGAATAAAGTCGTTGTATTACGAGAATAAAGTCGATAGATAAAAGATAGTAATCTGATGCTGATGTGCTAACAGATTGGTATTGATTTTACAAATAAGGAAATACTTAAAGTATAACTTAACAAAATGCTCAACATTCATCATTTTACCGCAGTTGTAAGACTGCTTTTTCGTGTCGGAGTTCTGATAATATTACGACATTATTCTGGTAATATTCCGAGTTTATTCATGTAATACTACAGCTTTGTTCTTGTATTATTTTGACTTTATTCTCATAATATTACAACTGTATTGTCATAATACTCTACTTTATTCTCGTAATGTTTCAACTTTATTCTCGTATGACTTAATTCTTGTAATATTACAACTTTACTGTCGTAATACTACAACTTTATTCTCGTAATATTATAACTTTGTTGTTGTATTACTTTATTCTGGTAATACTATGATTTTATTCTCGTAATTTCATGACTTTTTTCTTGTAATGTAATTTTTTTTTTCTTAGCGTGGTCCTAATACTCCGTCATATATATGCAATCATACAATCTAATACACGCAAACTGAAACTTGTACACTTGCATAGTTAATATCTACATCCTGGGGTTTATTATGTGGTGCTGGTGTAATGACAGAGAAATTAAACTGAAATGTAGCTTTTTTTTTTTAAAGAACTGACAACAGAAGCACTGTGAAAAAAATTGTCATTTTTTTGTTTTTCTCCCCCTTCTCTGTTCTCTGCTCCTTATCTCTATGGTGAAGGATGGAGAGCACGACAAAACACAGATGGTAAATAAATGCACTTTTAATAACAACAATAATAATAATAATAGTAATTGTAATCATGAATATAATGAAAACACTGTCACCTTTGATTTGCTCGTGTCCCTGCACTACAATATGACCAGTCTGCCTCGACACGTGTAAACTTTCTTCTGCCAACTTTGTTAGTGCATGCAGATCTTCTGACTTGGTGATTCAAATCAGTCAGTTGCTTGTGATTAATTATTGTGCTGTTCAGTTTCTGCTTGAAATGCTTCACGTTTTCATCCTCACAGGTGGTAGAGCCAAAAAAATTGTCGTCACACAGTTTCCCATTAACCCAAGTCTCTGCACTTGGCCCACATTATCTTATGAGTCCTTCTCCTGTTGCTGTTTGGGTGTTTTGTGTATTTTCTCGTGCTTCTCCCTGATGACTCTGATAAGTAAGGTGCCTGTTTTTTGCAATATTTTGCAGTACTTCCTTTCACCTGAGAGCACAGATCAGAGTCTTCATACTGCCAACATCATTGTCTTGATTAAATCAGTGGCTCCCTAACTTTTTAGCTTTTGGCCCACAAAATAAAACCTTCACAGACTTGTGAATTGATGCACAGACTTGTAACTTGATGTATTGTTTGTACAAACACTACCAATAAGTCACTTAACAGAGCCTTGTGAGCCATCACTTTTTTATTAATTTATAACTGCTGTTTTTGTTTTTTGTAAGCAGTAAAAAGAGAGTCTGATGATTTCTGCAGGGATGTGTCAAATTGCTATCAGTGGTTGGTACCTTATCAGCTGTGACGACAGTCATAAAGCAGAGTATTGAAAAAAGTATTGAGAAAATAGAAGGCTTCTTCCAGGCTAGGCTAATGGCTAACAAAACAAGGGTCAATTTTATATTGGTTTTCAAGCTTGTAAAGCAAGTCTTTCTCAATAATGTCATACTGGTGTGAAAATCGCTACATTAGCTAATATTAAACTTATACACTGGCTCATGACACCATTTGTTTAGTTTGTTTCTGTTATCTCAACTGTTGTCTGTTACTATGCAGACGTATGTGTACTGAGCATATAGGCTGTGTAACCATTGATGTCCTGCTGAATGTGTCAGTCCACAAGAAGTTATATCAACATTTGACTGACTAGATGTGTTCAGTTCAATTCAATTCGGTTTATTTATATAGTGCCAAACCACAACAGAAGTCATCTCAGGGCACTGAACAGAAACATTCATATACATAAACCAGTTAATAATGTTATTTATCGAAGGAGCCAACAGATTGCTTTGAGTTTTCACGTTATCGCAGTCTCCCATCCTAAGCTAGCACAGAGGCAACAGTGGAAAAGAAAAACTCCCTCATGAAGAAGAAACCTCCAGTAGAACCAGTCTCGACAAGTGGCCCTCTGCTTCGACCAGCTGGGTTTGAGAGGACAGGAAGGAGAAAACGAACACACATGGACAGGTTCAGGATGGAGGTTTTCTCTAGGAGGAAAAAAGACAGAAATCACATTAAGAAAGAATAATTCCAAATACAAACCATTCATTTATGTATTTGTAACTGTTCATTTGATGAAATGAGGTCATTTTGTTCTCCAGTAGTCGAAGGTTATAGCAGCATAGGATAAGGGATAGATCAGGAAACCAAGCTGACTAACTATAGTATTTATCAAAAAGGAAAGTCTTAATCCCAGTCTTAAAACTGGACAATGTATCAGCCTTATGGACAGAAACTGGAAGTTGGTTCCACTAGAGAGGAGCCTGATAACTGAAAGCTCTTCCTCCTATTCTGCTTTTGGAAACGCTAGGAACAGCAAGTAAGCCTGCAGTCTGAGAGCGAAGTGCTCTGTTGGGAAAATATGGAACAATACGATCTACACTATAAGATGGAGCTAGGTTGTTGAGAGCTTTGTAGGTTAGAAGTAAGTTTTGAGTTCTTTTCAAGTGTTGCTCAAGTGGACCGATACATTCAGCAGCCGCAGCTCAGGCGTCCATGATTTGTGTAGTAACATGGACATTTCATTCTGGTTGAGTAAACTGTGACAAACTAAAAAGTACAAAAGTGTAGCACTTTAATATTATGCTAATGTAGGCTAATGTAGCATTATTTCGTAACTGTATGACATTTTGGAGATAAGACGTTTTCTATTTTGGAAAAACGATTAAAAGAAATTATATGCCATTTGAATACTCAGCCTAGCCTGAAGGAAGACATCTGACCTTTTGCTTGTACTGCATATTCTGTGACTGCTCTCACGACTGATATTAATAATTGATAAATGTTGGACACAACTTTGCTTCTAAAACTGTCCCTTTAAGTCTAGATGCACAAGTAGTTTCACTTTTAGAGTTAAAGTGATTTCTGTAGATGTCGTCAAGACCCTTCGCTTGGTGTTTCACGACCCACAGTGGGGTCCCCAACCGCAACTTTGGGAACCACTGGTCCTCTAGTTGTCAACTTAAATGCTTTAAAACTTTCAATTTCTGTACAGAGTTCGACAACTTTGTGTCCTAAAACTTTCTTGCTCTTGTGACACTGGGGACTTTTTTGAGAGTTTCAAACATCAGCAATTTTTTCTCAGATGATTTTTAAATGTAATTAATGGGAAAAGAAACAAAACGCACATCTATTTTCACCCACAATAATTTTTAAGTCTATTTATAGGTCAATAATATGAATAAGTTTGACGTTTTTCAATTAAAATCTGATAAAGGATTTTATTTATTCAATAATGGAAAATGAGACGAGGTTGAACAAGCTTGTTGATTAGCAAGTGAAATAACCACATTTCCTCGTTTTAGCATCACATACAGGAGAAGCTTATCAGATGAAGTTACTTGTAATTTGGGATGAAATGAAGGGCCTGGATAAGGCTCAGAGTCGATACATTTTCACTCTGAGTGAACTAACCCTTCATTCTAGTTCTGACTTCTAAGCAAAATGACTGATAAAACTAGTGTTGATGGGTGTTGAATTCTAGTTAACAGATAAGGCTGGATAAGAGACTCAGCTGACAGTGTTGACACCACAGATGGCTGTTTACGTTGTTGCCGTTTGTAATGACGTCCTGTTAAATCAGCAATGGCTGCAAATGACAATCCCACCATCGTCATTTTGTCTTTGCATCACCACTCCTGCAAACTGAGATCCAGTCTGTTTTGATTATGAATGTTTTTGAGTTTCAAATCTGCTTCTGACTAAACTTTCTTCTATTACTTTGTCTTTTACATATTTCCCTACAATTAACCTTTTTTTATTTTTTTATTTGAGCTAAGCTATGTTTTTACAAAGGCTTGCTTGCTTCCTCTCAACTCCAGACTGCATTTAGCTTCAGCCACCATCGCTGCAGGATAGAGCGTCATTAAGCTGAGCTAATCATTTGCTTGATGTCCCAGATTCAGTGTTTCCTGATGATGAGGTCATTAAATCTGCAGCACTAGGCTCAGTTAAAATAACTTTATATGCAATATAAAACAGACAAAATAAACACCCAGCATTCCTTCAAATAATTCATATCACCTGATCCCATTCATGCCAGAGTTTTAAAGGCCGACAATAGACATTTTAATAAAATGTTGCCAATAACAATTAGCACAGTTTAACAATATATTACAAGATCTTCAGGGATGCGTTTGTGCTTAGTCTGTGTTGTGAATAACTCAGCTGTTATCCCATTGAATTTTAGCTCAATATTAATATATATGTGCATATGTTGGAGTGAGATGGAGGGTGGTTTGCTGTGGCAACCCCTGAAGAGGGAAAAGCCAAAAGAAGAATAATTAATGTATATGCAGCTTTGTGTTTGCTAAGACTGATGAGCTTTGGCCACCATCATGTAGGACTAACTCTAAAACATAGTTAGTTGTAGATGTACACCCTAATGATTATGTTCCAAGGTGTCAATAAAATTTGTTTAGTGGCTCAAGAAATACTTTGCTAACATAACGGACAAACAAACACGCTCAAGGACACGCAGACAAAAACAATATTGACTGCCTTTCTGCAGCAGACGATAATTAAACTGACTCACCGTTAGAGGTAACTGCTCCACGCTGTTTTCAGGACATTTTGTCTGTACATTATGTGCACAACTGTCAAATATGAAAAGTAGCTGCGCATAACATTTAGAACTTGAATGCACAAATTAAAAAATATATTTTCTTTACATAGCTGTTTTGGTTTTAGAATTGTACATAATCAAGACAAAGACCTTCATTTCATAACTTTAATAAGAACAGTGAAAGCCATAAACATAGCATTATAATTGGCCTTTTGTTTTGAAACCCTACCTTAGGTGTAACCTATAGCATGCTCCTCTTGATATTTCTACTTTGTTCTGCCGCTCTGTTTAGCAGAGCTAATGTGCCTCTTTTTCTTTTGAGAATAAGTAAGAGTTTTGTAGCCTTTCTACTTTGGCATAGGAGATAATCTGATGCTTGATGGCCACGATTTCTTCACCTGTTATACAGAAAACACTAGAAATACAGAGGCATGGGGTGACCAAGGGGAGTAACTGAGCTTGGGCCATAGAACCAAAGCTTTGTCAAAGGATTAGTCGGTCAAGAGACTTGTAAGGTGCAGCAAAAGTTGTGACATACGGATAGGAAAGCAGGGGTTGTATAGAATGGTTTGGCTATGCTTCGTGGTTTGCAACTGTAGGGGGGAATCATTTTACCATTCTTCTTTTGCTACTTATCGCAAAGCAATAGCTGTTCAGGTGTTCATATAATAAACAATAGAGCATGAGTGATAAATGTGCATGCCTTTCACCTTTCCTCTTTGTATCTTTGTAAATGGTAATGGGGAGTATACGTAATTTACACCTTCAAATGTGTCGTTTTTTTTCACCAGATAATGCTTGTGAACTTCACATTTTTCCAAGGATGAATGAAGCTAAAGAGATCTGCCTCAGAAGATCATTATTATTGTTATTATTGTTATTTGCGTTGGGGAAAAAAAAGAGTTCAGTTTAGTCTACATGCAGCACAAGTTACCTTTTTTGTAGGGTAACCAGCAAAAGACTTGGAGGTCCAGAAAAACCGGTTTCCATTTCTGTTTGCATTGTTTGCAGTTTCAGTCTCTTTTCTTATTTCATACCTTCTCCGATGTGCCCTATTTTATTTATTTTTTAATCTCAAAATATTCTTTTTAGGAACCACGTGCTACATCTTCACAATCTGCAACACAGAATGTGACAAAAGTACAAAACTGAATGTAAGACCTTTTATCGTAAAAAGCAACAACTTAACTTTGACTTCCTGTTAAGTGACTATTAACTGGCAGGATCTGGTGGATCTAAAAAAAATGTCAGGCCTTGTGTTTTTTGTATAGAGTTTCATAATCTCAGCAGCTATTGTTAAGTTTATTTTTAGGTTAGTGACTTGGTACCAAGTGATGACTTTTGAAAAGTGTTACAGTTGGAACCATGTTGGACAACTTCCACACTAAAAGTTTCAGTGTGAAGCATGCTCTGATACATTTAGTCTTTCTCTGAGATTGTTGCATGTGAACTCACAAGAATCTGAAGGATAAGATTCATGTGATTCTCCTCAGCCTCCATTACAGAAGTGCTCTATATGTGGGTAAACGTAAGACAATGGTGCACTGTGGATGAGATTTATTTTTCATGTATATATATATAAATATATAAAGTTTTAAAATGCATCATTTGCTTCAACTAAGTTTTTGTATAGCATCAAATATCTTTGTGTATAAAACATTGAAAATGATATTAAGTAGAGATGCACCCATTATTTTGAGGCAGATTCCAATGTCCAGTTTTCGTAAAGCTCTGCCATGTGTAAACTTTTAAACTCTACCACCTTAGAGCTTTTTCTCTTATTGGAAATCTGTAAATTTTATAAATTATAATCCTCTAAATAACTGAACAGATGTACAATAGTCCCTCATTTATTGTAGGGATTACTTTCCGGGACGACCCCCCCCCCCCCCCCCCAATATGTGAAAATCCACGAAGTAGCAACATTATATTTACTTTAGTATTTATATATATTAATGCTTCATAAACCCTTCTCACACTCTTGCAATGTTCTAAACTCTTAAACCAACGTCATTTTAACAACATACGTATATGTAGCTACTAAATTTTATTCACCAGCTCTGCAGAACAGCAGCGGCTCTCGGTTCCGCTTGGTTCTGATCCGACTCTGTTCCGGTTCGACTCTGTTCCATTTCTGCAGACGTACCCTGCCGGTTCTGGTCGGCTCTCTGGCTCGGGGTAGTGGCTTTGGGCTCCAGAGAGAAGCCAGACCTACGGTGGCGCGTCACCACTCGGAAGTCCTCGTGGGCCGACTACCAGCTCTCAGATTCACCTATGAGTCTGGAGGTCTGGTTCTGCTCCGGTTCTCAGTGGGTTTCGTGCGGCTCTCTGCATCCGCTGGTTGCCTAAGTTACTTTACATTAATAAGTGCTGAACTTTTTTTGATCCGATCAAAACTTTACCTCTAGTATTTCAGCAGAAGGCAATGGGGCTTCTGGGTGGGGCACTGTTGGCTTCTGGGAAATGTAGTCGTTATGAACGGGGATACAGTCTAGGCTTATTGAGAGAAAACTACAAAATGGCAGTGCCTGTGTAAAGTACAGTATTATATTTTTTCGTTAACTTTTTACTGTACAGTATCCAGTACTGTCCCAATCACGTGAGTAATATTAAAGTTGACAATTATGTGTCGTGTACAATTTTTTGTTTCTTATTTAATCTTACTTTGAAAATCCGCGAAAGAGCGAATCCACAAAAGTCGAACCGTAAAGTAGCAAGGGACTACTGTATTTGTGCAAATAAAATTTATTTATTATAATTAATGCCCATATTTTTAATTCCTTAATATTTTATCTTCTTTTTATCACCTCAAAATATGGTATTGCAGCTGAATATCTCTTTTAGGTTTATAAATTAAAAGCATTCCAGTTTCTTTTAAACAGCCTCTTACACCCATTTTTCTACTCTAGGCTATTTTTTTCATCATCTTACAAACTTAAATAATTAACTTGGAGTTTCTTCACTTGGTAAAACTGTACACCAGGGACATGCTAATGCTAATGAAAAAATAGCTGCATTGTTATAATGTGTTAACAGACAAAATTTGCATTCAGTAACTGGGGATAAAAGAGACTTATCAGACTGAGCGTCAAACTGTCAAAGCTGGTCAAGCTTAAAATGAAGTGATTCTGGTCAGAAACTCACTGATGCGTCCCTAATAATTTCAGGTGATGTTAAAAAATAATTTCTTATGCAGTCTTTATTCCACACTCAGTGGAGATCTCTGTACAGAATTTCTTCCTTCTGGTGACAAATCTATCACTGCTTCTTTTTCACTTCAACTTCTTTCTAATTAAATGTGCAGTTCTGGTTTATTTTTCTACTTCCTTTTTATTTATGGCACAATGCTTGTGTAGTAAAAGATGGAAGGCATCAGATTTGTCAAAAAAAAAAAAATATATATATATATATATACTGTGTATATATAGATAATTCAAAATGTAGTACACAGCCATAAATGGAATGTGGAAAATGTGTAATCTAGATGCGCTCAAAGAGCTTTGAACACAATCATTGTGCCATGTAGTGTTGACTAGAGAGAGTGAAGCAGTCAGCACCACAGGGATGCCTCGAGCTTGTGAAGGCTTACTGTAAAATCAACAGGTGGTGAGTGTGGTTAAACAGCCTGCCCAGGCTAATCCTCCTCAAACCTTCTTAGCCAGCTAATTTGTCTGCTTTGTCCCCTCTTCTTCCTCCTGCTCCTTGTGTTTTACAGGTCAGCACAATTACCTGTGTGCAGGGAGAAACGACTGCATCATTGATAAGATCCGCAGGAAGAACTGTCCGGCGTGCCGCTTCAGGAAATGTCTTCAAGCCGGAATGAATTTGGAAGGTAAACAGTCTGACCGAGCACCAAATCAGGCCAAACCACATTCAAATGCTCCCAGCACTTACTCACTGCCTTTGACTTCACAGTGAAACAGCACTTAGGCTATATTTAGCTTTTCCAAAATGAGGAATTTTCACAGGGGCTGGACAAAATCACAGCGTAGACTTAAAACGATTTTGTTAAATGTTTTCAACATGGGAGTAGCCTCAGAAAGCCTGACTAAAAAAAGGAATCCCAAGGATTATAGGGAAAGATTGTTTCATTCAACCTTCGATGTCCACACCCACATTGTGAAAGACACAAGTCCAAGAACAAGTGGACAGTTTACACATTAAACACATTCCTCTGACACATAAACACAGTTCGACAACTGATTTGCAATTGCACAGCACTTGAAATAAATTGACGCAAACCCTGTAGAAAAAAGTAATTTCAGTTTTACTCAACATGGGAATCAACAAACACCTATATAAATTATTTCCTTATACCTACAGTATATGTATTGTCTCTAAATATCTCACCATTTGTTTGGAAAAGAAAGTGAGATTTCGTCATAAAAATACAAAATTAGTAGTTGCTTTGTACCAAGGTGTAACCCTTCTTTAAAATAATGAGCCATGCTGTATGAATTTTAAATGTACACATAAAAAAGTATACGGTAAGTAAACATAGTTTGCCATTACACCTCCAACCACAGGTTGAAACTCCCATGAAAACAAGCTTCAACAACACAGAAAAACACTGACTCTGTCAGTCGGGGCTTGTTTAAGCTGGACTTTTTATTATAATCTTTTTGGACTGGATGAGTCTTTGAGTCATCTAGGTTAAAAAAAAGTAGAGCATCCAGTGTAAAAGCATGCATCTTTAATGGTATGGTTGTCTTTTTTTTTAATTATTATTATTATTAGAAATATAAGAATTTTTTTAAATGAGTGGATCTTTAAATCAAAAAAATCTTGCTAGTTCAGTGAAGTGCTGCAGCCTTGTAATCCTGAGGCTGCCGGTTCGAACCTGAGTTGTGTCAGAAAATGCATCCGGTGTCAAACAATTGCCAATCCTTCATGTGAGTTCACTTGCTGCGGTAACCCCTGCAGAAGGGAGAAGCCGAAAGGACAACTAACCAACACTTAGGATCATATCTCACTGTGCCCACCTTAGCAGCCATCTCTACGTTCAAATTTTTATTTATTTTAATGAAGGACACTTCTGGAATTAATATGGACAGATTTGGACACACAAATGTTTCTATAAATATTATTCATAATTAGTGGGGTTACTTAAAAAAATCTGGCAGAGAAAAGTTTTCGTGAAGTTGTCAAAATGCATCTCCAGGGCTCTTGAGGTGAGCTAGGGATACCTAAAGCAAATCTTAGATGGGTTTTAGACACTTAGCATTATTATACTTATTATCTTTCATATTGTGTAGGGATGCACGATAATAGATTTTTGCCGATATGTTAAAGCTTATTTGGCATATCGGTTATCGGCCAAATTTAGGCTTATTTGCTACAACAATTGTGTAACAGCTGTAAGAGCTGGTGACATATATTCAGTAACAGCCATATGATATGCATAGCACTTTAACTTGTATTAAATGAAAATTGTTAAATGTTATTTATTAGCATTAGTCACCTGTGAAGATGTCTCACTTGTGGAGGCTTGTTCCAGTGTGGGATCCTCTGCACTCCTGTGCATGAAGGACAGACTTTTTAAGATCAAAGTTTTTGTCTATCCATTGTGCCATAAGACTAATCATGCTAACGGGGCTAACATTTGACGTCCAAATATTTGTGGTAAAACTCACCCAAGCGCTATCTGCTATTAGCTTCTCGATGTAGGTAAATTGTAAATGAGTCCTCGAGACTCAATGAGATTTACCTGTCTAAATAAAGGTTGAATGAAAAATGACATTGGAAATGACGACTTGTAACTCGGGAAAGGTTATGTCGGAAAAATATATCTGACTGGGGACGATGTAGTGAGGCTCAACGTAGTCCAAAAATCTTCGGAATCCAACATCCTCACCAATGGAAAAAAACTTCCACACCGCCGCCAATTTGACGTCTTCCTCTCTGCCATGATCAGATCAGATAGGTGCGCATGACGTCATCACGTTGTGCTGCCGCTGCAGGCATCCTTGTCACTGGGTTGTCATACAAAAACAATGTCTTCTATATCGGTGAGTTGTTTTGATGAAAGGGCCGATGTCTGATATTTAACTTTAACGCTAATATCGTTCGATACCATGGCGATAATATCGTGCATCCCTTAGATTGTGCAGTATTTTTAAATTCTTATTGCATTTCAAGTTGTCTCAGAAGATTAAAAAATTGCCATTCATATTGAAAGTTGAATTTCTGTTGACCGCAACACATTGAATAGACTATTAGTTTAGGTTTTATGCATTTTGACTGTGATGTCACTTCAAATTAATTTGAAAGGAATTTCTAGTTTAAAGTTATGCGAGGTTCGATTATTATCTTTTTAATAGAAACTGATAAATGAATTCAACTTCTGCATAGAGTCGAACTATGTTCAAACCCTGCCTTTTTTTTTGGAAAGCTTTGGCAATAAAAACAAATGGTTCAGTCATTGGAAAAATTTAGATTAAACCTTTACTTTAGATGATGTTTACACCTCTGTCAACATCACTTTTATTGCTTACTTATTGTTTTCTATCACACGATCTAACACATTTTGCCACTAATCTGCCAACAAGTGCATCTATGCATTCATGTATGAATGTGCTTTGCCAAGGACCATGAGAGTGCATCTTCTTTCTCACATACGCTCACTGAGGTGGTATTCACAGCTTAGTTTAAATCTCCAACCTTAAATAAACTAGTACTTGGTTCTTCAAAAGATAAATTGTTAGGTCACGGTGCAATAGTAAAGCTCTAAAGAGGATGGACCTGGGAATCCGCAGGCTGAGAACTCCCAACTGTTCAGAGTGCTTGAAAGTTGGTTGTTCTGCCTTTTGTTTGTTAATTTTTAAGCATATACTCTTTCAGGGTGATTAATGGCTACTAGTAGTTTTACACAGTTTATTGGTGAGTGGGGAAATGTGCAGTGTGTGTCAAATCAAGAGAGAAGACCGAAAGTGGGATTTGATGGACAGCAGCGTGTCGGAGAACAGGCTTCGAACTGAAAGTCTCGCTGTTGCCATAGAAACATAGAGAGGAAATTAAAAAAAGGTAGAGTGCGGAAAGCATGTTAGTTTTATGATAACATCCTAACAGTTATGTTTTTCACATTTAGTTTTAGAAAATGTCCAAATGGTGTGCAGACGATGTGCGGAGGCAAAAATGGACTGAAAAATGACAATAAAAGGTTTATTATAATTAGATTTGTATATATAACATCGTAGATCTTTTCTTGGCAGAAATCAGTAATAATAAATCTTCTATCTCAAACCCTGGTTTTACTTTTATTCGTCCCCCCCCCCCCAATAACATATAATGTCTGTAAAAATGGTATAGACACATGGAAATGATGCTAAATAACAGATGCCGAATTATTTAGTTTTAAAATGCAGACTTCAGCAGCACTCAGCTGTGGAATTTGTTTTACAGAAGGAAACCATAGTTGAGGTAAATATAAAAGAAGGTAATGAGTAAATGGAAAATAATTGTTTCCCAGTTGTGAGCCAGGAAAAGTTTTGTCGAAATGCTCTCATGCTTGATTGTTGACTTTAAAACACAACATGAAGCTCCTGACTTTAAAATTATAAATCAACTGAAGCTTAAATGTCCAACAATAACATGTTGTTAAAATTGTTTTATCGGTTTTATTCATTATTTATGTTTGCGTTGTTGGATAAATAAAACAATATGTTTTACTACTTTGGGATTTGGTGAATTGTTTTGGTCTTTACGTCTTTATATATTCTTGTCTCATGTTTCTTCTCTTTATTAATTTTCTGTCCCACTCCACAGCGAGGAAAAACAAGAAGCTAATCAAGATGAAAGTTCAGCGGCCCCCAGGCCCATCAGAGCCCGTTAACAACTTGCCCATTCCAATCATACCGAAGAGCATGCCCCAACTGGTGCCCACCATGCTGTCTGTTCTGAAGGCCATCGAACCAGAGATCATCTACTCGGGCTACGACAGCACGCTGCCAGACACCTCGTCACGCCTCATGACCACGCTCAACAGGCTGGGGGGACAGCAGGTCATCTCTGCCGTCAAGTGGGCCAAGTCACTGCCAGGTACCAAAACCTTCCTCGTCTTTAGTTTGGGTTTGGATTCATGATGCTGATCGAGCAAAATGTGTCCCACCAGGTGGACACTGGGCTCGGGGGTTAATGAAGTGTTTTTTCATGTTTGGGCTACCGATGCACCTACTTTGATCTCCAGTTGCTTAAACAACAACATTCACAGTCAAATTATTCACAAAACATTTTCTTCTCAGTGACATGAGCATCAGCTGGGAGTTTTGTCACCTTTCCATGCAGTGGTGCAACTTAACTTTTAAAACTGTGCAAAATTCACAACACTGTCAATCCAGAAGCAGAAGTTATTTTAATTCAGGAAGTCATCGTGTTTGTTTCAGAAGTTAGATCAGTTGTTAGGTCTTTACTTGCTTTCACCAACGGGCGTTCAAGAAGGTAAACCCTCACAAGGCATCAGGGCCTGATGGCATCCCAGGGCGGGTGCTGAGAGTGTGCGCTGACCAACTCACCAAGGTGTTGACCAACATCTTTAACCTGTCTCTGAGCCAGTGTATTGTGCCCACCATCTTCAAGACCTCTACTCATGGCCCCATCCCAAAGACCTCTGCAGCATCCTGCCTTAATGACTTTTGGCCCATAGCACTCACATCTGTCATCATGCAGTGCTTTGAGCAAATTATCAAGACTCACATCTGTGCCTCTCTCCGTGACACCCTGGACCCCCTACAGTTCACATACAGAGCAAACAGGTCTACAGATGGTGCCATTGCTTCAGCAGTTTACTCCTCACTCAGCCATCTGGACAAGGAAAACACCTATGTGAGAATGCTCTTCATTGACTACAGTTCAGCATTCAACACCATAATCCCCTCCAAACTGGTCTCCAGGCTCACCACATTGGTCCTGAAGAAGTCCATCTACTGCTGGATACTGGACTTCCTCATCAACAGAACAAATTTGTGTAACTGGGACCTTGTGTATGCAATTTTGTTCCACCACATGAGTTGCGAATGACAATAAAGAAACCTTGACCTTTACTGTAGTCAGGCAAATAATTTTAAAGAGGCTTTCCGGATGTTTGTTGTTTCTAGTAGATTTAATGCAGGAGGCACGATGTAGTAGAGTTTTATCATTCAGCTAGTTAAATCTGCTTTAGATTGGTAGTCAAATTGTTCTTTTAATTGGTTTGACTGTAGAAGCAGTACTTTTAAAAATGGCTCCACTTTGCAGTGCAGACAGATGTTCAGCATCCGTGTGATAAAATTTGTGACCTCTCAAACTGCTGAATCTGTAATTAGATGAAAGCGTGGCGTAATTGTGGCTCAATGAAGATGCCATGTTCCAACGAAGTACTTTGACTTTAAAAAGGTTTTGACCAGGGTTATTTTCTTTTTTGGATGTTCATGAATATGCTGATTGAAGACAGATATGCTGTTTTTTTTTTCTTTTAGACTTAATTTCCTAAGCTTTCTATGAACGCTATGAGACATTCTTAAGTCAGAATTTCACCTGAAGTCATAATAACTCTCTTTTTCAGCCATTACTTTCCAAGTGGCCATTTTTAGAGCATTATGGGGAAATTTAACATAAAAGAGTAATATTACTAATACTGAACAACCACTGAAACCCATAATGATATAACACAAAACTATCTAGTAAATACTCTTAAAAATTTGACTGGCAATTCTAAAACATGTACATTTCTTTCTTTAATAGTAATTTGGTTTCATGAAGCAGCTGTAAACACCTGCTGCTTTTATTGGCAACATTTTAACAACATTTCTTCATGTAATTTTGGATGCACTCATGGCTCTTTCATTAAGAACAATACATTTTGGACAAACAACGGCATCATTTTTAAACTCTGGTTAAATGTTTGACCGCTGATTAAAACTAGTTGTCAGTAGGAACAATGAATGGCTTTCTACCTCCGAGGTAAAATAAACGCAGCGTAATTTAAATTTAAAGGTGGATGGAGATAAAACAAAAAGGGCAATTACCTCTGATAGGAGTTTAACCTGCTTTGCTTGTTTTAATCTACGTGATTCACTAAATGAGATGTTTGCAAACCAACCCAGACTGGTGTGGTTGTGGGTTTTTTTTGAAGGTTTGGAGTTAGTTGCCCCACTCATTCAAATAAATGCTTTTAAGTAACCAAAACTTTATTTTCTTTATAATCTGTCCTTTTATTGTAATAGCATGTTTAGTGGCTGTCACAATAAACTCCACAAAGCCTTAAATGTTTACAAGTTTATTTGTATATTATAGCATTAATAGTATGTTGTTCATAAAGATAGATTAAAATGCTGCCATCGCCACTAGAAGCAGGTAGAGACTGGATTTAAGAGAAACTACTTTGTTTTTTTTTTAGTTCGTAAAGTGATAAACCTGCATTGCATTACTTTGAAAATAAATCGTTATTGTTAACATTAAGAAAAATATAGTATCAGGGATTAACGCCTGTCCTTTTTCCACTTCACAAAATAGAACTGGAAAGAGTTTGGAACCAGTCAGACCACTGGTCACGAGAAAGAAAGCGCAACTCGATAATCGCTCCCAAATATTTTATGTGTAAATTTAAGATTGTGTTTCTCAGAGAACGCTCTCTGTAACACAAACACAGTTTTTCCTTTAACTTGGGCTTTTTCATCAAGTGACATTCCAAAAGATAAATCTGGTCTTACTTCTTTTACTTGTGTATACAGAGTCTGTAGGTGGCAAGATGACAAAAAAAAAGACCTTAACAGGAGGAGTGGGGGCTCTTGTCTAAGTTGACATGTTTTAAAGCAAATATGAAAAGACTTGACAGGAAAAAAATACCTTTGTCATCTTGATGGAATGGAAATGACTGAACTACAATGTAAACCAGTTTAAACGTTAAAGAAGTTAGGCCGGTCTTTTTATATACCATCTGTATGTATATATAAAATGCTTTTGCTATTGTTTTATTTTTATAGAAATGTCCAAAACAAGTACATACGTACAGTAGTCCCTCGTTTATCACAGGGGACCCATACCCTGAAGCCCCGCGATAAGTGAAAAACCGAGAAGTAGGAATAGTAGTACAAGTAGTAAGTAGTAGTTTATTTTAGTATATATATATTAAGGTGTTTTAAACCCTTTCCACACTTGCAATATTCTAAACAATGTTTCTAAACTTTAAAGCTCTAAAAGAGGACAGCATGTCATGATTTCAGCTCCTTGCCTCCTTTGCTCTTTGCCACCTGCAAGCGCTCTTGGCCACGCCCACTTCTCCGCTCAGCTGCAGGAGGAAGTTTATCCTGCAGTATGAGCTGCACAAAGGTGCAGCAGGTGCAAAATAATTTCAAATATTTTATTTTAAATAAAAATTCCATGCCGGTTGTGCGGCTCATCCATCAGTCAGCCAGTTGTGTGTCATGTCTGATCTTATTTTGAAAAACTGCGATAGAGCGAGTCCGTGAAAAAGGAACCGCGAAGTAGCGAGGGACTACTGTATATAAATGTCACTATAAACAAATTGATATGCCAATAAATGCACTTCATTTCATTTCATTCATTAAAATTACTTTAGGCAATAACCAATTTGTAAAATGTAATATTTGTCGCTTTCTTTGAAATCGTATTTGTCATTATTTTCAGTCAGTACAGCTTCCCAATGGTACAATGTTCAAATAGCTACAAATATCTATTTTCTAGTTTCAGTCGTGGCTTTTTTTCTGTTTTTTATTTTATTATCTTTGTTTAGTTGCATGGATATGGATTATCTCCCCCATGCATGTGATTTGCTGTTTGGTAAATGATGTCAGTACCCCATGATCCTTACATTATTGTGCTAATGGTATTGCATTTAAGGTTAGCATTTTTTAATCCATTAACTAACTGTGTTATAGATGATACTACTGCTGGAATATTCTTCAACATATTGAGTGCAAATAAATGTATGATTTGATTTATCTACAGCCAATCTAGTTAATGCTGTATGACCTTGACTTTTTTTTGCCAGTCACAACACACTGGATCTGCAAATTTGTTTTTAAACTCCTCACAGTCGACTTTTTTGCAATCCTGACAAACTCTAAAATAAAACGAGACACTGGCGGCAGACGGGACAGCTGCCTTGCTCTGACTGTCACTGCAGGTGCTGCTTTTAGCTGCTCCTGATCACAATTGTGTGGTTAAAATAAACAACAACCCATCAGCCTCTGGCAAATCAGTACTATTCCAGTAGCCTGAATCAGAAACACCGCTTGTTGTTTTTAACAGAATATTGCACCAGCATCTAATTAAAAAATACAAATCATTCTCCACCAGTCATGGCCCAGTCTGTAAAGCATTGCAAATATTGGCAAATCTTTAAACCTTCTTGGCAGCACAACAGTGTTGAAATTGTGAAAATGTTTTAATGCACATTTTAAAATAAATATCATGTTTAGTGTTTTAATAATAATTGGGTTATGAATTTCTTTTTTCCTTTCTACTTGTTTTTGTTTGTTCTTGGAGTCTAACCAGCTTTATCTTCCTCTCCCAGGCTTCCGTAGCCTCCACCTTGATGACCAGATGACATTGCTGCAGTGCTCCTGGCTGTTCCTCATGTCCTTCAGTCTTGGCTGGAGGTCGTACGAGCAGTGCAACGGCAGGATGCTCTGCTTTGCCCCAGACCTCGTCATAAACAAGTGCGTACCCAGCTGTTTAACTAGACTGCTGTGTCTGCAAAACATTTTGTCTTCATTCATCCATCCGTTATTTTTAACTGCTTCTCCCTTTCCGGGTCACAGGAGTTACTTGTGCGCATATCCAACAGTCACTGTATGAGAGGCGGGGGACACCATGGACAGGTCTCCAGTCCATCACAGGGACACATAGAGACAAACAGGACAAACATTCATTCTCTCACTCACACCTAGGGACAATTTAGAGTTACCAATCAGCCCAACGTGCGTGTTTTTAGTCTGTGAGAGGAAAACGGAGTACCCCAACAAAACCCACACATGCAAACTCCAACCAGAAAGGCCCCACCACCACTGTGCCGCCCCTTGTCTGATTGATCTACTTCTTATTTACTCATTCCATGGGTGTCAGTTTCTTGGCATCACTTAGTCGACCATCTGTTTGCCCATGATTCAACTCAGACATAAGTTACGTTTTAGGGTTAGGACATAAAGGCCCATAAATTACAAGGTTGTTTTTCTCCCCAGTTGCGGAGCAGAAAGGAGAAATTGTAAAATGCCCCCTGTCCGTTCGTCCATCAGTGCATGTTCCGGGTGTGATAACTTGAAAAATATGCTAGGTGCAGACTTCCATTTTGGGCTGTATCTAGGCATAAAAAAGTTATTTTCTAAAAATTGGGTTGCCAAAATCCAAGATGACCATATATACCTATTTATATCTTGGCTTATATATGACCCAGCAACCCAAATCATTTGAGAAAACTGCTTTCTAGTTTTTATATTGCTTAAAAATGTAGTATCCTCAAATGATTGGGTCAAAAATAAGCAACACGCCAACTTCCATTGTGGTGTGTGTGGCTGCATCTAGGCGTAAGAAAGGTCACTACTGAGAATTGGGTTGCCATGTCAGAATCCAAGATGGCCACCGGCATACATATATGTAAACCGACCACGCCGATCATTTGAGGAAGCTACGCTTTCTAGTTTTTAAACTTTAAAAAGTACTTCAACTGTAAAACTTAAAGTGCTTAAAGTATAGTTTCCTCAAATAAGATAAGATAGAACTTTATTGATCCCGCAGGAAATTATTGTGCCAGAGTTTCAATACAAAGGCACAAGGAATCACACCATATATATAACAGAGAATATAGAAATACCAACAATTAAGTCCTAAAACAGGTCAGGTCAAATGATTGGGGTGACACTTGGGGTGGCCAAAGCTCAATCTATGGTGGCCAAGGCCACCATTGGCCACCCCCTGGTTCCACCATTGTGCCAGGATTCATCACTCTGCACTGACTGGGACAAGCAAAAAAAACAAAACAACAAATAAATAAACAACCACTATTCTTATGCACAGTATAACTCCTACCCACTTGAATATCTTGCACCATAACATTAAGGTTTACTTGCATTCCTTGTTCAGTTCCAGTCCAGAAAAATCTTGGAAAAACTCATTTTGAAAACCACAAACCTTCACAAATCAGATCCCTCAGCAACCGGGGACATCAACGCACGGCTTGTCTGGGTTTATTTTTACCCCTGAGTTTGTCCCAGTGTCAAATGGGTTGGTGGTTAGTCTTTCTCCATGGGACGCCCCTTTAAGGAGCTCAGTTTGTTTAGTTTTTTAGTTTTACATAAACAGACACAACATATTAGTGTCTCAGCTTCAACACGCCATCTAATCTTACCGCGGTGCCACATACATAAGCATACAAGTCTTTTGATTTTACTTAAGAAAAAATACTGTGAAATGAAATATAAATTAGAAACCTAATATTACACGTTATAGACATTTTGGTGTTTAAGGTCAGTTGGCTTTGGCGACCATCTTGAATTAGGCTGACGTCAAATGTTAGTCAAAGGAATATTTTAAATCAAATGAAGGTGTAAATCCATGTAATCTTTATTATTCTGACATTGTTCACATATATTGGTCCACTGTAAGATGGCTGTTTTAAAACTTGAAGGAAAATGTGATTTAATGGAGATGCTTTGTTCAAAGTGTGTGGTAAATGTTATCATAGGAACAAAAGCAGCTTTGTGTAAAACTTTTCATGTTAAAACGTATCACGGAGTAACATTCCATGAAGACTTCAACTGTACAGAAAGAGGAAAAAAAAAGGAGCATGAATCATATTTCTCTGCAGATCTTTGGGTGGGGTTGGTTTCTGTAGAGGCGTATTACTTTTTAAGGTTGTAAAACACGACGTTAATGTGCTGAAGTGGAAACGTGGTGTGAAAATCCATCACGACTGGTTTTACAGTCCGTTTTTTTTCTTCTGCAGGACGGATTTAATGAGATTTGAATTTCAGACTCGGTGGAAAAAGCGCCGTGTTGTATCGAACCTACGCCTCTCTTCTGTTTTTGTTCCACTGCAGTTTCCACCTGTTCTCCAAACATCACGTTTTTTTATGTTTCCTCAGAGAGCGCATGAATCTGCCTCTCATGGATGACCAGTGCAAGCAGATGCTGAAGATCTGCAACGAGTTCGTCCGACTGCAGGTCTCCTATGACGAGTACCTGTGCATGAAGGTGCTCCTGCTGCTCAGCACAGGTAAGAAAACAGATGTTACTGAGACACAAAAGGTCAAATATTAATGTTGGTTGATACTGCTGCTCACTGTCACTCATAAATGTTTTCATCTCAGTCAATATCTGTTGAAGAATGATCCAACCTGACCTCGGTTTTCAGTTGTAGCATGTCAAATAATTCATTGGGATATATGAATGATGTTTCCTCAATGAGGTATACATTTAAAACAAACAGGACTTGTTGATTTAAAAGATACTAACATGTTACTTTGAAATTAGAAGTAAATACATAAAAAATGTTTGTTTTTTTTGGGTTCTGCAGCTCCAGTTATTCTCCAAGAGTTTGTTTGGTCCATTTTTGGTGTTTTTTGTTGCTTTGTCTGCAACAAAATAAAAGATTAAATACAAATTCTGTCTTTATTCTCTTGGCTTGCCAACTCTCACAAGATGTTTGCACCAAGTGCTCAGCCTTTTAGGCATAAAGACTCTGTCTGTCACAGATTGTGGAGCCACTTCAGAAATATTGAAATTTTTACTTTTGGGGACCGATGAAATGACAACATAGGACCAGACCTGACCCGCAGGACTTGAGTTTGACGCGTGAACCATAAATGAAATATTTAGATTTTTTTTTTTAAACAAATTTGATCACTTGTGTCCTGGATATCTTTTGAATGAATACATATACATTATATGACACAAGTGCTCAGCCTTTTAGGCATAAAGACTCTATCGTATTGGTATCCCTATAGCGGAGATCGGAAATTCGAGGTGTCGGGGTAGGTTTTTTTTTTTTTTTTTTTTTTTTTTTTTTTTTTTTTTTTTT